CGACATAGTAGTATAGAGCCCTAAGATGATTGCCAGGTTGGAGACCCATTTGATGTTACCGAAAGGGCAAACAACTGGGACTATTTCACTTAGCTGTGGACTGCAGATGCCTACTATTTCACTTAGCTGTGGACTGCAGATGCCCCTTACCCAACATTACCGGCCATTGAATACCGATGTCTAGTTTGATGTTGTGGGGCATCAGCTTATTGTTCCACTTAGATGACGACACATAAAAACCAATGTCAACTCCCTATGGTTGCGATACAGTGATGTCAGTAAGACTTATACTGGAGTTGAAAAGACAAAAAGGATACGTTTGCTAGCACTGAGAGGACTTATACTGCCAATTGGACTTGGACTTGTCATACTCTAAACATATATTTATACTAGTTTAAGATAATTCAAGAGATTTAAAAGATAAATACATATTTAATACTTACATGCAAATACCTAGAAGACATCTAAAAGAACTAAAAAACATTTTAAATGTAGACTTCAAAATTAATTCCAACACTTTCTGCTTGCCATTGCTTTCAGAGTTGGCATCCTTATCTAACGATCTTTTTCTCTCATGATCAACGAGTCTTTACTTCCATTGATTCTGATGCCTTTACTTAAAAATGCAGATTCACAGTTGCATTGGTGATGTTGTTCAAGGGAGAAAATGGAAACGATCATTGCCATTGGTGTCACTACCTCAGCTGTGTCCCTACTTCCAGATGGAAATGTAACGATAACAATCTTTAGTAGGGAAAAAAAAGCTTATGGTCTAATTTATGGGTTTAATATTTCAATTTTTACATGTATAATTTGTATATTTATGCATAGTTTTAGGTTACAAACTAGTTTGGCTTGCTGTTTGCCTTCTACCCAAAAGACTTGACATCGTAATTGCTTATCATTACTTTTCATAATATATATATATATATATATATGAGAGAGAGAGATTATTTCCTGAAATAAAAAAATTAACCGTGCCCTCACCGAATGTGCATTTTGGTGCTCATTTGTGGCTTTGAATTTATTAAGAAGTGTTATTATGGTTATTTTTTAAAATATTTTTTATTTTAAATTATATTAAAATAATATTTTTTATATTTTAAAAATTATTTTTGAGATTAGTGTATTAAAATTATCTAAAATATAAAAAAATATTAATTTTTAACTAAAAAAATTTAAATTTTTTTAAAATATAGGTTAATCAACGTTTCTAAAAGCTCGCTCCATTTCAAACTATGTTTCGAGCAATAAAAAAAGAAATATATATATAAAATTTGAATCTCAAGTTTTGTTGTATATACGCTTAATGGCTAAAAGCTATTTTCTTTTCTAAGACTAATATTGATTTTATTATTTTTTATTTATTTTTGATGTAATGATAAAATGTATATTTAGATTCTTAAGGAATTTTGAGGGCACATCACTGATCACTCTAAAGATTTTATAAATAATTATCGATACTTATTTCATGAATATACTTTCCAAACTTGTAAAAATGATGATGATATTTTTTATTTGAGTTCAAAAATATTTTTTTTTATTCTCTTTTTTTCTATATTAATCTCTCTTTTATAGAGTAATTATTAATAATTATTTTTAAAACACTATGAATTTTTTTAATCGACTTAATATGTTTAAGTAAATAAATTTGTTTAAATGTTGAATTTAAAATCTGATCTGAAAAACTAAATAAAAAGCATATTTTGTTGATGATCGAACCTATCCTTTGAATTACATTTTTCTCACTATGAATAGATGAATGAAAGATTTTGCTAAACCATGATGGTCATTCTATTTTTTTTTAAAAAAAAAAAATGATATTTTTTATGTATAGAATTTATGTCATTTTAACAAGTTATTCATATCCAAAATTTGTAATTTTTTTAGATTTTTTCTTCTCATTACCTCCTTTTAGCTTTAAATTGATGATTTTTTTCATCTTTAATATTAACATATTAAAATTATTGAAAAATATAAAAAATTAATTTAATATATTTTTAAGTAAAATATATTTTTAAAACGCATAAAAAAACCTAAAATCTAAAACCTCAATATCATATTTTCATATCAAAGAAATCTAAAATCTAATTCTTGTTAACACCATCAATTCATTTGACTCTTCGGGTATAATATTTTTTGTACTTTTATATAGATTAAAGAATAATTCATTAATTGGATAGAACTTATTCTACGTGGTTTTGCATTCAATATTATTTTTTAATCGTATTTTCCTTTTATATTATATATATATTTTTCATATATATGATATCATATAAGTGCACCATCCGTAGTTTTATTTCCTTAAATTAATTTATCTCACATTAATGAGAAATAATTGAAAAATCAAACTGATTAATATGTTGTAGCATTATATTATAAGATTTATTAGTAATTAGTAATTGCTTGCATATTATGATTTCTTGCTAATGACAAAATAATTATTGTTAATCATAATTTTCATGCAAGTTAAACTATAAATTAATAATTTTTTATTCGTTTATTTAAATAAATCCAAGCCTTAATATTATATAGAAATCACATCATTATGGTGCAAGTTTTGTATAAAATCTCATATTTTATCATTCTAATATTACCCCACCCCTGCGAAATTAAACGTCAGGCTCCATAACTGCTAGAGGCTCATTCAGCCACCATGAAAGAGCAGAACAAATTCTTCATTTCACTCCAACCCAGCTTAATCAACACTATGAATTTCCCATCTTGCACTAAATAACTCAACTGTTGAACTAATACAAGAGGGTGGTCCAAATCAATTTTTACAATATGGAAATAATAATGACAGGAGTGCCATTGTTGCTGTTGCTATAATGGGCTGTGGCAGTGGCGGCCGATGTCGATTGCACCACCGTGGGAGGGTTCCTCACGGCTTGCTCCACGTTCATCACCTATGGTACACCAGACCCACTTCCAGGTTCACCATGTTGTGATTCCATGATGAGCTTGAATGTGATTGCTGACTCTGGGAATAACAGGAGGTCCATATGTCAATGCTTAATGGGCCTCATCAAATACCTACAATCGTAACGCTACAGTCATTGCTACTTTTCCAGGCTTTTGTGGAGTAAATCTAGGGTTTGTTCTTCATCCCAATACAGATTGCTCCTCGGAAGCCTTTCTCCAGCCCATCTAATTTCTATTTCATTACATGATAGTACATTTGCTATTTTAAAGAGGCTGCCACTAACACTAGTACAAATTAGGAAGAGATATCTATATTTTGTATCCTGTGGCTGATTCACGGCTGCCATCACCCGCTATCATAATCATGCCTGTCATCATTTCGTGTTATCTAATGCCTATATATTTACATGGAAATGCAGTGTACCTCGAGTTGAGTTCAAGGAAAATTATGAAGCTGGTTCAAGGTGATGCAGATGGAAGACTGAATAAGAAGCTTGTCTTCAAGTACAGTCACTGAAAAATACAAATAAGAGCAGGTCTGAGCTTGTGTATTGATGGATTGACTATTGATTTTGTCCATGGCTTTTGCTTCCTCGTTTTAAAGATGCACTGCTAGTAATTATCGTTTGAACAGATGCATTCATGAATCGGACATATCTTTTCACTTTAATCTGTTTGTTTTTAATAATGCTTAATCAAAGCAGATCCATAGTGAAGGACTCCCAAAACTAGATAGGTTAAAAAGTTGGATATGTGATCAGATGCTACTTTTCACCGAAAGAGATTGCATAAACACACAAAGTTAATTGGCATTTAGATTGGATTAGACAAGCTAAATCACTATTCTCGCAAGAAATAGTAAGAGCAAATTCAAAGTTTAATTGCTGCCTTAAGATTTAATCTCACTCCATGTAATTTCATTTCATCCATGATCTTAGATCATATAACATTTAATTGATCACACATGATTAACATTTCAGAACGTGTGAATACCGCCACCCTATGTATAAACCATATTTGACCTAGCATATATATATATATATATAAAAGAATTTGGGATTTCATAAACTAGCTAAATTGTAGAGAAAATTCTGATGTAATAAACTTTAAATATCAATAATTATTTAAATAATCAAATTTGTTCTGAAAAATAAGTTAGACAATCTTTTTTATACTTAGTTCTTGAACTAACTCCTAATCTTTATAGAAAAAAAATCTTTATTGAAAATTAGACGATTAATATAGAATCTAATAAGCATTAATATTTCTAAACCAAGTAAGAAAAGAAAATTCTGAGAATACATTTGTATAATTTCAGTCCAATCTATGATGATTAAAAATCACATAATAAACATCATCAATACTATAACATTGCAATTTCTAGGATCTGAAATTGAAGACAAAAGGGGATGACACAAAGACAATTTGCACCCTCGCCTGCTGTTTCAAGTCGTATTCCTCTGGCTGAATTGTTCCTGCTGTCACCATCACAATTAAAAATTTCACATCATTAACATTCTTCAACATAATGATTCCTTGGGCATGTTCTGGGAATCCAAAGTTTTACATTTGACTGATATAGGCACTAAACAAGATATAGAGGCTGTTCTTTTTAACCGCGATGCATTAGTGCATTCTTTTCTCTTTGATATGTTGCCCTTTCAGACAACCATTGACAGATCAAATGAGACCATCCAATGTAGATAAAACAAGTGAAATAATCTAGTTTCCGTGAATCCACAGTAAGATAAAGATACAGATTTTGCTATCTGTCTGCCTCTAAACTCGTTAGCTTTGTGATTGATTTTGGCTTAATATGCAGAAGTTCTTGGCATTTGTAAGCAAATATTGGCTATGCCAAGGACAGTCGCAGATTTTAACCCTCCATACAAACCAGTCCTGATTCACGGCGAGGATCCTTGCTACATGCAGTCACCACTGTCTTCAGCAAAATCCTTGTTCGAATGAAAATAGTTGAGCTACTGGAACCAAACATTTCTTTCATAATGTTTCAGCATGGCAGAAAAATTGGATCGTATATTTAGACACCAGAAGAAGCAAGAAATATGAGAAAATATGAGCAAACTATAATAACACTTGAACATTGTTGGAATAAAAGAAGGTACACGCACAATTTGGGATATTACATCAATCTGAATCACTCAATGTTAAAAGTTCAGTTTCGTAAGGACAAAGTTTGTCAGATCATGATCAAATAATTACAACAACAGCATTTGCGCACACACCGGAAAAGGAAGAGGATAAACAGATAAGAAAATGAACAGTTGTCACCTTAAGTTGGAAGTTCCTAATCTATTCGAGTAGCCAGAAGGAAGTTCAGTATTTTGAGCCAAACCCCTTTCTGATCGAATGTCTGCATCATAATACCCTTGAACAGATCTTCTGCTTGAACCGTATTTCTCAAACTCAAGCCTCTGCCTCGGGGCACTTTGTGACCTAACCTTGGCTCGAGATGATTCTGTGTTAGACATGTAGTTAGGGTAACCCGGGTATCCATTAAAGAAGCCCCAAGAGCACTCACTCCTTGTGGGCGTAAAATGGGCTCCGCCTTTTCTACCACTACTTCCAGGTCTAGATGTTGCAGAAAACAGGCGAGGACTATTCTCAGCTGTCCTTGAAATTGCTTCATCATTTCCTAGGGGTAATTTAAGAGAGTGAAAAATTTCTCCTGAAGGGACGCTCAGCATTGGATTTGGTGTTTTTTTTGATGGAGAGTCAAATGTCATAAAGCTCTGATTGTTATGATCCGAAGCCAAAGCATACTGTGAAGTCTGAAATGTCCTATTACTTTGTTGGGATCTCACATGGGGCTTCCAAGTGTCTACTTCAAGGATCTTGTCACTCTTCTCGTCATCAGCATGTCGATTTCTCAGTGGATTGCTGCCATGGTCATTCCATAAACTTTCTTCCATCCAACGTTCTAGCCAATTTGAACCCAATTTTACTTTGTCAAAGTCAATGCTCTCCCTAAAGTTTGCATTTGAACCACATCTCTGCATGTATTGAAATGGAAAAATGCAATCAGAGTTCCGTAGTGAATTGCTATATCTCGAAGGCATTGGGATAATCATACAAAAGAATTTATGAAAACAAACAAGTGGTACCTTGAGAATTGAGGGGCCATCAGATTTGGTACTAGAAGCGCAAAACAGGTGATCCTTGGAAGGACTTGCAGGGACCTGTGGTAAATGTAGTTAAAGGGTGGGTATCACAAAAGAAAAAAGCACATATATCAACAATCATATCAAAGCTTTATATCTTTTCTAGTTGAGTCATATGGGAATGCCTTGATCAGGTGGAGACCAGTTCTCTTGGCCTTGTAAATTCTGCAACTCATGGGTTTGCTCAATGAGATGCCAAGCAACAAGTGAGTTCGAAAATTGTTCACTCCAAAAGATAACAAAAAAGATTGAAGGGTAAAATGATAATAATTTAAGAGCCATCACTAAGATACCCTCTTATGCTCATCAGGCTGTCTCTCAATCCACATCCGAATACCATATACCGTTCTTAAGGGACTAGTGTAACTTGAAAAATTGTGAAGCCAATTGCCTTTCAAGTTTAGCAACAAGCATGAAGAAAGCACTTTTGCCATGCTCCATGCTCGGTTTCTTTGCATTCACATTCACCTTTTTTTCTTCCTTCAATAAACAAAGGATAGATTATATTTTACCAGTATGTTGCCATGTGGATGTGGTCCTTCAAAAATAAAGCATGGATGCACATTGACATTTGTGCAGGCTCATGGCAGGCATTTGAAGTGCCATACTCAATCACTCATAGCATATTACAAACAATTAGATGTTTTTTAAAACCAACAACTAAATAAACAGAAAAGGAAGTATGCTTACAGCATAACGAGAATGGGAGGACTTGCTAGTAGTATGCCAAGAGTCGGACACATGACTGCGACTGGCACGGGCTCGAGCCTGCAGTCTCACTAATGTTTGCATACGCCTAAGCATGTCTGCTGTTTGCTTTCTCACAATGTGGCCTCTCACTAAGGCTTGAAGCTTCACCAATGCTTTTAGTGCCCTTAGTGCCCTCCTTGCCTTCATTGTCACCAGAGACAAAAAAAAATCAATATCCACTATACCAATCAAATGGATGTAAGAAAAACAAAATGCAGAACAATCATTAAGCACTTGTATTACTACATGCCTTAAAATTTTAATATGAAAAATAAATAAATAAATAAAAGTGCTGCTTTATGGAATTATTTAAGTTTCAGAGATCAAGTTCTTTTGGCACCAAATTCCAGGAATTTTAAATGCAACGGATCAGATAAGCATGATATTTAAGAAGAATATGAGAGGCACGGAGTTCTTGAAAAGAAGGTGTGGGCTTAATCATTATTTCAACACACACAAAATTAAAAAAATAGAACATGGTAGTGAAGGACTCGAACTTTCAACCAAATTGGCTGTAAAGTTGTTCTTGGGCAGATAAAATTGGAAAATCATTGCAAATTTAGGGACAGTGGTGTGAACTTTGATAAGAAAAATTAACTTTCAAAAAATTATTTTCATCAATCAACTAAAGTTTGAAGTTGACAAATAAACAAAAAGCTACATTTCACTTTTAAAAAAAATATCAACTTGCAAAGAAACACATCAAGACCTAGACTCCAAAATCCAATAACACCTTCAAATTCAAGCTGCAACAATATTAGAATGTAGGCCCTAATTAAATTGGTACTAAAAATCTTGTCCCAGTTGGACTGCTAATTACTCCTTCAATACCAGCTCATTTGACAATGATAACTTGGCCTGAAGCCAGCCCTTGCACATCTCATCCATATAATTCCATCCATAAATGGTCCATTTGTTCACACTCCTAGATACATAATTTTCTTACTCCTAGATACATAATTGTGATAAACGTCCACCACAATACGGCTGTTATCATGAAAACCATTTCTCAAACTAATACGTGCATCATTTCAACAATCATCAAAACATTTCTGGGATAAATTAACAAAAAGAATTAACTTTTATAGGATTAAATTAACCTGGAATGATGGTATGCATAAAAAAAATTTGGAAAGTAATTTGAAAAAAAAAAAAACACCAATTCATAGCCGGGGGCATAATTCTGTGGGCTCCTTGCTTACACACACACACACTGACACACTGTAGAATCATGAAAAGCAGGCACTCAACCCCACAAGACCATAACAACCAGCACCATCACAAGAAAAAAAAAAGAAAAAAGAAAAAAGAAAAAGAAAAAGAAAAAGAGAGAGACCATACACAGAGAAATCACTCTGAATGTAGCAAGCAATCTCGTCAACAAATAAATACTAATTTATTTTATTTTTATTTTTTTGTATTTTAATGATCAAGGGCACTAAAATTTGAGCCAAAGCGATTTAAAAAAAAATAAAATCAGATAAGAGACTGGGAATTATGTTCCAGGGAAGAATGCTCATCATGTCATGAAGTCACAAGATGACACAAACACGTGAGAGGACATGAGACACAGGCAAAGACAGAGTTTTTTATTTTATTTTTTTTAAAAAAAAGAATAGAATCAATTCTGTTTGAGCTATAGCTAAAAGTTTGATGGTGATATTGCTCGAGGGTGTGACCCAATAGGCAAATACAGTAGTGTCGGTTACACCTTATTGGCCATAGAAGGAACTGTTTTTTGCTTTGTTTTCTTTTTGCGTTTTGGACCACCCTAAGAAAAGATATAGCTTTTGCATTATTTTTGTGGAAGGAATAGTTGTTATCACTTAATGAAACCAAGTGAACAGGTAGTTGAATTTTGTTATCAATAATTTAAACACCATGAGGAAGAAGAAGAAGAAGACGAAGAAGAAGAAGAAGAAATTAGCAATAGCTTATTAACTTAATTATTTTGCTGAGTGGGTTTTAATTTCTTAATTGCCAAGTCTCCAATTTGAAAAATTAAAAAATTTACCACGACAACTTATTATCTTGGAAATTGAATTTCTATGCATTCAACAACTCAAGTTCCAAAAATTCTACCTTTATCATTTGAGGGACCAAAATGAAAGAAATACTATTCAAAACAATTTTTTATTTTGCAAAAATCAAAGAGAATTAAATCTTTCTGCATGCATCCCCAGATATTCCCAATTCCCAAGTAACAATAATAATATTGACCATTCAAATTCGTTTTCTTTCTTTATTTATTTTCCTCATCAAGCAGGAGAGCTCAAAAAAAAAAAAAACTCCGTGATGAATGACTAAAAGATCAAATCAAACAAAGAAACAAACGCAATGGCCCTCAAATTGATGGGGTATTTGTGGATGAAAAAACTAATGAGCGTGAAAGGAAAGAGAGGACACTTACCAAATAACCACGGAAGGCAGATTGAATTTTAACCGCCGACACTTCCTCCACAAACCGGCGGTGACTGCCACCAAGAACATTACCACCACCACCACCACTAGTCAATCTAACAACCTCAGCAGCCGCTTGAGCAGCAGCAAGTGCAGCTTCAGCAACAGCAGCAGTAGCAGCTGCCACAGCTATTGCATGCTTATTAGCATCCAAATTATTAGCATCATAAGGAGTAGTTGATAACAAAATTTGATCAACCTTCTTGGACTGTGACAAAGAGGGTGTTGTTTTTGAAGATCTAGACTTCTTCTTGGCACCAAAAAGTCGCCGGAAAAAACCCATCTTTCATAGTTTAGAAAAGATGGGTTCTTCGAGAGATTTTAGTTAAAGAAAGCATTTTTAAGACAAGAAGAGAGAAAGAGAGAAAGAGAGAGAGTTCAGTCACTTTTGAAAGTTTGGTGTTTTTTTTGGCTAATGCAATGAGAACATGAGATGGGAGGGAGTTTGGAATTTTTAGGAGAAAAGAGTCAGAGAGATTGGATAGCGTGTAAGAGAAGGTGAAGAGATAGACGCGAGTGAATGGAGTTTGTGGGGTACGTGCCAAGGGCATTGAGAGGAGGGCACTAGGGTAGGCCATGCATGGGCCCGTGAGGGGCAATTTCTTGTTGAGTGCTCATTGAAATTAGATTTTCGATCTACATTATATATATATTTTATCATTTTATTTTGATATAAAGGTATCAAACATGAATAAATTCTAGTCACTTAAAACACTGTTTTAATTTTATTTTTTTTATTAATCCGAGTCTTGATATTGCTATGGTTTCCCTGTCAAGCTGTACAGGTATAACAGGCTAAATCCCAACTAATTTTTTTGAAACCTCATCCGATTTAAATCTCGCATTAACTTCTCTAGCCTCATCAATTCTAATCCAATAAATCTAATTCAACATGCCAATAATGAACATGAACAGTCTTAGCCTTGCTGCCATTTTTATTTTTAACGGAGGATGAAGTTTTCAAATGGAGGATGATGATTACTCTCTAGGATTTAGTTAATTATGGTTAGCTGTGATTTAAATGGGAGTTGATGGTCATTAGATTCATCACTGTGTGCAATGATTACTCTGTGCGTGGGTTTTGAGAGAAATGAAGGATATTACTGTTGAGATCTTCCTACCATATTTTTAATCTTGAGGTGTAAAGCTGGTGAAATCATTTGAAGTTTTTGAACTGTGGGCTTAATTAAGTTAATTATTTGTTACCATTTATAATCAAATCTTCACATGCTTTCTTTAAAATGCAGAAAAATTAAAGAAAAACCATTGTCTGGAGTCAGCGTGCAAATTTCATTCCAAATGTTTCTTCCCATTTTGGTTAGATTGGAGGGATGGCGCATGATCCTCCTCCGTATATTTAACAAGACTCCAGCATTTAATTACTGTTTTAAGTTGGAGGGATGGCATTTAAAGTTGATGATAAAAAATAATCAACTTTATTTTCCCTCCGTAAAACAAAAGAAAGGACCTCATTTTCTTAATGCTGTCCTTTGAATTTTGAATTCATGTCATGGCATAAAGCTAAAAAGGTAAGCTATGTTCTAATCCATGCAAACTTATTTTGACTATCTGACCCATGCTTGTTGATCATCAGCTATTTCTATACTTCAATGGTTCAAAAATAACTCTTTTTTTTTAAAAAAAAAGAGAGAAGAAGCAAAAGTTTATCTTCCATGAGATTGTGGGGTTGGTAGCAAAGGGTCCAAGCATTAAATTGCCAAAAACAAGACCTTTGGCACCTAACTGAATTGAGATGGAGTTCGAGTCAATTATGGTCGACTTCGAAAATCTTCTTTTCCAGTTTTGAATCTTGCTATAAGAAGATACGCTTTCGTGGAAACATTTCAACTTTGTTGACTTTTCTTCCATACCATGAACGTTGGTCATGGGGCTGCCTGCTTCAAGTTTCCACTGTTTTTTATATTTTTTTCTCCCAACTTGTATGGGTGACTAATGAATTTCGAGTTTTTTCTCCTTTGGCATACTTTTTTTTTGTGTGTGTGTGTGGTTATTGTGATCTGGGAACTTGAACATTCTGTAATCCATGCAAGAGCAATCTGAAACAAATACTGGGCTAATCTAAAAGAGCCCTTAGTTTTGGTCCTTTGGCTCTTCTTCTGGGAAAAAAAATTGTTTATTTGGATGGATGCCATATTGGCCTGTGAATACCCCTTAAAATCGAAGAGGGACTCACAATTCTAATTCTTTTATTCAAGCTGTTCCAAACCAAATTAATGGAAAAATAGAACGAAATCAATCCAAATGCATCAGTCTGATTCATTAAACCAAAGTTACTTATCTTTTATGTGTCGAGATTAAGTTATTTTTCAATGAAATTTTAATGTTTCTGTGGTTTTATTTGAACTTGGTTACATTTGTACCAGAAATTTGAGCACTATTGAATGATCTGAACCACATCTCATGGGAACTAGGGGAACATAGAGGATTTTTGCAATGTAACAGGATGTTTTATGATCAATAGACATGATTTTGACAACTTCCCATCTGTGGCTATTAGCCCAACAAGCATCCTTAGTGCTGTTCGTGAATTTTGATGGCGGAGAGACCATTAGGAAACTCTAACCTTGAGTGTCTGACCACATAAATTAGCAGATTAAGCCAAGTTATCGGTAATGAAAATAAATGGAGATAGGTCTGAGAGAAGTAGGGAACCAAGCTAGCTATTGGCTCTAAACAGATTAGCATTTGGTTTTCTATGCTTGTCAAGCTACCTGCATTTTGTTACCAAATGGTGGAGGGAATTTTCCATTTGAAATTTCACAAATTCAGCACAAAGTCTCACACATGATGTCATCCTCCGGAAAAGCTATAGAAATCTCTGATTCTGCATGCAGTTTTTGTCCCTGTTGTATCCAGGAGCAAGCAGAAGAAAGATGGCTGGTGATTCTGCATGCAATTTCCTAGTTGTTGCTAATGTTATAGAACTTAACCTCATGTATAAAATCCATTGATCTGTATTCACTCTAAGTGATTCCAGATTTCTTTCTCTTCTCAGTTTCTTAGAATTGTTCTATGTTCTTTCTGATATATAGCAAAATCTGAATAGAAATGCAGATTTACTTACTGTTAACAATGAACAATCTTTCTTCATTTCCTCTGTTACAATGTGAAGGAAATCTTTCCGTTGCCTACCGAGTTAGCACGCCTTTCATTCAACGTATTCCTCAGTATGTTTAGAGGCCTTTGTGATCTCTCTGTCTATTTCCTTAAGCTTCTTGTTTTCTTTAACTTGAATACCATAATAGCAAGTGTAACTCCAACCGTTCAAGAGGAACTGTACTTTGAAACCTGCAGTCTGAAAGGCTCTCAAGTTTTTCCACCAATTGAAAGGGAGATCTTTCGATATGTCAGCAACCCTTGTGGTGCACGTGCTTCTTACTTTTCCACACAACATCATTGATGTAGCCGGGCCAGAAAAAAATAAAGATTCTAAGCATCAAACGGGAATCTATCATAATTAAAGGTTCTACGCATCAAACGGGAATCTATCATAATTAGATGATGATGTGCTGTCAATGGATTACATAACTAGATGATAATCTGTTCTCAATGAATGATAAGGATAGCTTAACAAATATATTTATAGATTAGGAAAGAGTTTAGCTAAATTAAAAACCTTGTTACACCAGATTAGTAGTATAAAAATTCATAATTTTTTATCTAATTGCTAAATCAAGCTTAAATTTTTCTAGATAATTTGAGGCTATAATAAAGTTTGCATGCCTATGATATTCCTCCTCCAAAAGACTATTATTTACATCTTAAAGATATTAGTTGAATTAATTTTGTTGATTTTTCATGATTTTATATGATTTTTGAATTTTTGAGGGATTATGATTTTCTTGCTTATAGTTGGTTTTTGGTTTGTAAATCTCTTAGAAAGAAGTAACATATTAGACTTTATTCTAAAAACTAAAACTAGAAATTAGAGTTTATGTTGAGTTATTTTTTTTATATTATTAATGTTGGTGTCCGGGTCAGCTTATATATGCCTCAATTAATTTCATGGATTCTAAAATTAACGACCATGTAAGCCATTAATGATCTTAAAATTTGTAAGATTCAAACTAATAACCTTTAAAAAACAAATCTAAAATCTGATCAGTTGAACTATACTCCTTAAAGTTTTAAAATTAAGCCTTTTTGTAGTTTTTTTTTTCTTCTTTTTTTTTGCCTTCTAATCATGATGGAATACATCTTCAAAGCCAAGTCCCTTAGCTTTGATGACCTTCTCATAGTCTTACCCAACTCTTATAGTTCCACCTGTTGCAGTATCCAGCGACTTCATCAAAGCATTGCTTGATTTTTCATTTTGGATCCTTTATAGGACTCCAATGCTTTTTGTTTCTAATAATAATACTTGTCTTGTTGGTTATGTACCAGTAACTCTGTTTTGAACAATAATGTCTCCTAGCCTTTACTTGTTGAATTGTCATGAGATAGTTTTGTTACGCCTTAGAGATCACCATTAGTTTTTGTAAGCTTATTTGCCTGGATTAAAGTATTTGACCATTTGAAGAGGGTGTTGAAATTGATCTCAACAAGTAGTTGTACTGCGGTTTCTTGCGCTTTGAGGCCCTATACATTTTGGACAACAGAACTGAAGTATCTCATTCATCCCATTTATTCCTTCCATGTCATATGTGAGCAAGATTAAACTTGCTTTTGCTATTATAGAAGGTTAGAGAATAATATAAATTATATTGTAAAATTTAATTTAATAATTTAAGTTATTGAATTAAGATGATTTCTTGATATGATATCAGAACCTCGATAATTAAGTGGTCATAAGTTCAAATTTTATCATTTTTATTTATTTGATAAAAATTAAATACAAAATAATGTAAGTCTGTGCAAATTTTAAGTCTAAAAGGTTTTTACTTAAGAAAATATAATAGAGAATAATATAAATTATATTTTAAAATTTAACTTAATAATATAAACTATTGAGTTGAGATAATGTTTTTAAAAAAATATATCAAAAAATAACTTATTCTAGAATCTAGTCTACCAGTTTAGACTTGCTACAGAGATATGTTATAAGGTTGTTGTTTAGTGGCTTCCTAAGGACTTTCTTGTTGATTGTCTACACTTTCTTGAATCGCTAAAATGCTGGAAACTAAGCAACGAGACAGTTTCTTGATATCACAGTAAACCATCACCCGCTATCATCCATTTTAGTGTTGAGGCTTTTCTCAGGCGTTCGGCTTCGAGGGTAAGAGTACAAAAGCTTTGTGCACTCTAGAGTCCCGTGTCGCCCTTTTAGCGCTTCCAAGTTTGCTGTTACTAGTATGTCTCCTCCTCCTTGTCTCAGAGTGTATTATTTTACATTTGTATTGCTAATCTATGTGCTTAAAAGCTGTGATTTTGGCTCTGTATTCTTTTGAAAAGAAAGCTTTGATGACATTCATTTGTCAAAGTAAGCTAGGGTGAATCAGGGAATGCTACTGTCACTGTCAGGTCTAATGACATAGGTGATTCCGTAGAGAATAGGACAGTATAAAAAAACAAAATCAGCTATTTTGTTATTTTAAAACCCTCAAATTAGACTTGAAAGATTCTGTTTAATCAATTTTGTTATTTTCCTTTTATTTTTCTGATTTTTATCTTTTTTTTTAGATTTTATATTGTTTCTTTTATTTTACTTACGATTCTGATTTCACTATTTTGCAAGTTGTAAACCACTAAAAAGAGGCAGATTACAACGAGAGAAAATATTCAAAAGTAAGCACAACTTATTTTGCTTGCTGTCTTCGTGTCTTGTTTCCGTCGTCACTTTATCATTTTCTGTCATTCATCTCAATCATCCAATGTTACCGTACGAATTGAAAATTATGGCAGTGTGTTAAGCTCTTGCAATGAAGATGAGAACGTAGAATTGAAAGGCCTTTTCAGAGGGGATGTAACTGTGGCAGGAGAGACATCTTCCAATGACCACAGCAAGGATAGTGAATTCTCTATTTTTCTCATGTTCAGATTTGATAATTGCTTTCAGTGGTGATGAAAATATGGAAATGGATCGTCTTTTAGCTGCTCCCGGAAGGGAGACAACTGACGTCACAGAGCCACCATCCAATAACCACAGAGACTATAGTAATAGCAACCCAAAACTCTCCCTGTTTGCAGACAAGTCATATGAACATTTTATGGAGAAGCTTGATTCTAGCACTAATTATTCTTCGAGGTTGTCAATGTCAGGGGTAAATTGATCCCTCGGAAATTCGCCCTGTTCTAGAAAAGCTGTGTTCCAAATATGGAGATGTCAGTGCAGAATCCACGTTAAGTCCACGAGTGAAGAACCATACCACTGTCATGCTGTGTGGGCTTGGTACAGCATCTTTTCTTTTTTCTTTTTAAAATTTAATTTTGGATTTTCAATGTTAATTTCACATTTTGTTTCTAGTTCTACTATCTATATAAGGATTCTGATTTTCATTCCTTATATATATATATTCGATTTCAAACCTATTTAAAAAATTATTATCCTTTGTGAAGAGACAAATAATTAAGGAGAAAATATATTCAGTAATAAAGCTAAGATTAGAACTTTTATGGTTGAGACTCTTTTCTAAAATCCTGTCTTCCATATTCGGATGTGTCAAGTTTCCACCATACATCCAAACCTGTGACCTCTAACCCTCGTACTCAAATTCAATCCAGAAATTCTGCCATTTCAGTATATCCAGGATGCTACATTTTAAGGCCACTCGGGTCTGACACTGAATTTGAACAGGGTTTCTCTACTACCAGTGCAGAAAACGTAAATTTCGCTTGAAGGTTGAATCAGAAGTGTTACTCATAAATCAGTTTAAAGAGGGAGAGCACTATCACCATTTCAGCCACAGGAAGAACAATGAGGATGATCATGTTAATTGCTCTACATGGTGGAAAATCCTTTGCAGTTCCAACGAATGGCAGAATCTCTCTCTTTTTTCCTCCACCCGGTTCTGTTTTGATTAATTAGCATGTTGAAATCCTACACTTCTTTCATCTATGCCGCCTCTTCCTGCGCACTCAAGCGAGCTCATCATCAAACTGTGGAGTCTAAAATTAAGCACACGCATATGAGAACAATTAAGGGCTAAGGCTCCATTAGGTGTGTTTCGCATTGAAATAGTTTTTATAATTGAGGTTGAAAAAGATAAAAAAAATTTCTAAAAAACTAAGACTATCAAACATAAGTTTTTATCATAATTTGAGATGAAAAGCATGCTCAAGCAATGAAAATCAAACAACTTTTCAAGTTCAATGTCCACCGGAACCTAAATTAAAGCACCCTCTTTGACAAGGATGAGAAGACATGCCATGCCAGTAACAAATTTCTTTTTCGAGATCAAAGTACGTAGAATTACAAGAATAATGACTGATTTTCAGAAATAGGAAAGAAAAAGGACTAAGGTGATGAGTGATCAAATAGACCCCACTCAACTCAGCTATAAAATAAATATGTCAAGTCAGAGTATTTAAAGAACTCTTACTTTCTTAAAAATAAGATAAAAACAACAACAGTGAGCACTTCCTTTTCGTCTACGAGGAGCCGATGCTTTTTGTCTTCAGTGGCTGTCCTAAAAGTCATCGTCTAAGTAGATGCCCCTTTGCTCTCATTCTCACTCCGGACTTTGTTCCTCTTTCTCTCTCTGCGAAAAGTGGTGTTGGTAGCTTAGGTAGTGCGCGCCATTAAAGACTCCTGCAAGTGCAGGTAGTCCCTCTTCTCGTCTCTCTTCTTTCTTCCTCTTTGCATGTTATTCGTCTATTTCTAGGGTTTTGTTTGCTCGTTTCAGGGTTTGAATTTCCTATTGATTGTTCAACTCGACCATTCACAATCGCTTAATCTTCATTATTGTTATGGATTGTTTGGTTGATGAGAAAGTAAAGAAAGCTTAATAAATTTGTTAATTGAAGCTGTTTTTTTTTCTTTATGATAACATTAAGTTGATCACAATGATTTTAGTCTTATTGAGATTGAGGTGTTAGCAATCAGAGCAGTTATTTTATAGTTGTGAATTGTGATAGTTCAGCCTACTTGATCTATCATCTATCGGTCAGTCATTGATCATATGCGTGCATTTACTTATAGGAATTGATGTTCGAAGAGATGAGTTAGAGAGTCTGTTGGTTTAGAAAGTTTTTGGTGGTAAGGAATCTGTGGGACTAATTTCATTTCTGTAATTCTAGAATTAAAGTCGAAACTGAGAAGTTCTAAAGATTTTTATATGCGTTTACTTGATATTTGTGTATCAAACTTCGTTCGAGTTTCACTTTGCTATTAATGCGATGCATGAGATGTGTTTAATTATAAGCATATTAAGTAATTAGTTCATACAACAGGTAATTTCATTGAGATCAAAGCAACAGTGATTGATCTAACAACCTGTCACCAGCCTAAAAGATGCTGCTTTTATACGGAATTCTCATCTTATTAAAAGAAATGGTATAAAATTCACTGTTTATGCATAGAACATGTTTGGCATCCAAAATCCTAAGAGGTTTAGCTTTTAATATAAGGAACTTCTGTTTATGTGATACAAACTTCTGTTTCTTTTCTTTTGTTTTGTTTTCTCAAAAAGAGAGCTCGGGTTTTTTTGTATTTATTGGTTGCTCTAAGAGATGGAGTCAGATAGAGCTTTTAATATAAGGAACTTGTGTTTATGTGATACAAACTTCTGTTTCTTTTGTTTTGTTTTGTTTTCTTAAAAAGAGAGCTCGGGTTTTTTTGTATTTATTGGTTGCTCTAAGAGATGGAGTCAGATAGGTCCGATTCATCAGGTCCGATAACGCAACGTGTTTATTCTTTGGGAGCCGCTGCTGGTGGTGCTACTGATACCAGAGGAAAGCATAGGATACAAGCAGAGCTCAAACGAATTGAGCAAGAAGCTAGATTCTTAGAGGTAAGTTTTTTATGTTTATATTGTTTTGTTAATATTTTCTGTGCTCATTGATAATTCCAAGAACAATGTTTTTGTGCTTCAAATTGTTTGATTATTTGATTGTGTTGTGTGTACGTGGCTAATAAATGGTGATCATGAAGTGGGTTTCTTTTGTTGTAGAGGAAACAAAGAAAATTTTGCTTCTGCAATTTTTTTTGCTAGTGTATACAATGTGGTAAGGGATGACGCAAACTTTCTGCCAACCTGCTCTATTTTTAACTATTGCAGCCCCTAATTAATTTCTAAACCTACTTTCAATTTATGTAATATGTTTATGAACCTTGCCAAGCATAGTTGAAACAAGGCTTTGCCGCTAAATAAGGCACTGTCAAATTAAAAGTTAAATCTCTTAGGATTTTTTATGGCAAACTTATTGTGTTTATAAAGGTGAATTCCATACCATTTCTTTTATTTTTCTGCCAATCACGACAATGTGTTGCAATGTATTAACTAATCGATTAATTTGTTAGGGACAACTTGGAATTGTAAAAAATATATATGTCACACAAATTAAATTAACAAGATCAGCATTTCACATACAATCTTTTAGAGTGGTGATTAGGCGGTTTGGTCAAAACAGTTGTTTTGATCTTGATGAATTACCTTTTGTATGAATTAATTACTTAATTATAAATATAATTAAACGCATCTCATGCAGTTTTGTCACTTTTTTGATATAGCATAAATTAAAAGGTCTGAAACAAGGCACCAAGTGCGTTACATGTGCATTGAAACATGAAGGAGTTTCTCATGTTGTGTCTCTCCAGATTTCCTCACGTCCTCTTTTAAAAACAAATCACTTATCATGCCTTGAAGAGTTTTTGGTTGCTGCTAAGTTGTGTCATTGAAAGCTTCTGATGACTAAATCCGCATGCACTTGAGTATCACCCAAAAATAACAACATACCATACGGATCCTTGCCTTTGAATTCCAAATGATTTAGTTTAATAAGTATTTCTAGAAATTAGATGAATTACCTTACATCCTTCCTCAAGATCTGCATGGACCTAGACTGTAATACTGGCTTTTTTTCTCTGAATGCATTAATTATGCTCAGGAAGAGCTGGAACAACTTGATAAGTTGGAGAAGGCTTCTACTGCATGCAAGGAGTAAGTGTGAAAAAAACAACTCAATTGATTCTCTCTGGCCCGTTGTTGAGATTGCTTTTATTTGGGAGCTAAACTATGTTTTGTTCCTGTCAGAATGCTAAACAATGTGGAGACCATACCAGACCCACTACTGCCAATGTAATGCACTTTCAAGATTTCATTTTTTTCCATGCTTCTGTCCTCTTGCTGTCACACGATGTCTGAACACCCAATTAATTTCTGGTTTTGACAGAACGAATGGTCCCATGAACCCATTATGGGACCGATGGTTTGAAGGCCCCAGGGAGTCTAAAGGATGCAGTTGCTGGATATTCTGATTTTGATTGCCCTTAACACAATTTGTCTTTTGTCGGAAGAGTATTTTTGATAAAATGCTACAATTTTGAAGCAATACGTGTGTGGTGCAATGCTTCGCTAGAACAACAATTTTACAGCAACCTTTTCTTCAGTAAAGGAAATGTTTCATTGCGCAAAATATGACATTCTTTAAGACAAGCAAATGTAGAAACACTCTGCAGGATTGATTGAGTACGGTTAGATGATACACAACAGATACACATTTGAAAAATAAACAAATAAACGCTTCAGAGATCACTCTTCTTGCTTTCAACTTGGTGCTTTGCCAGTAACTCTTTGAGCAATCCACCCTAGACCATCGTGCAGACCATCCCCTGTAAGGGCACAACAGGCTTGGATATGCCAATCATGATTCTTGATGCTGTGAAGAGAAAGAGCATCAGTAATCTCGGCTGGTGTCATGGCATCCTTGAGGTCTTGTTTATTTGCGAAGACCAGTATAACAGAATGTTGTAAATCATCATGTCCCAGCAGCCTAAAAATTTCGTCCTTCATAATGGATATCCTGTCTCTATCAGTGCTGTCTATCACCGCTATGACAGCATGAGTTCCACGATAATACGTTGCCCATGAAGTCCTGAGCCTATCTTGTCCGCCAAGATCCCAGACCTGATAAAATCAGCAGACAAACATGGTTAACTTTTTAGCATAAAATACATAAACAAACTCACCCCATCACAAAATATTGGCATGATCAAGCAAGCTTCTGCCACTAAAAACTCAGAAAACTGAATGAAACTCGAGTTTCCAAAATCTCATGGGAGTGAGAAAATATTAGTTCTTTCAAGCATATTGTATAAATAGTACTTGAGAAGATTTGGCAGGTCTGTTAAACGGTCCAATACTCTAAATACTTATCTGATAACTGCGAATACTGGCTCAACATGTTTGGATTACAGCATATTCAGCAATTCAATTTAAGCAGGAAAATACATCCATTCCAAGTAACACATGAACCAATGACTTTAATGGCTCAATCAATGACAACATTTGAATCTAATCATTTTACATTGAACCACTCGGTGGAGTTAGAATAGTGAGGCTTAATAGACATCATCATTCAGTGATGTAAAATGGCATCTTTGTAATCCTAATCAGTGATATAAGCTGCAGAAGAAATCATAGTTCGGTTTTCTAATCAATAGGTTTCAGAATAACAAGTGCATAAGAATACCTTGCATTAACTGTTTCACTGATCAATGAGAATGGGAGCATTAAAAACTAGGCATAAGAACAAACATGCTACTCTCTCACAACCTACAATACTCCTAATTATTTCTTCACTGCTTGATGGTTATTTCCCTGATTTTTTATCTGGCCCCAAAAAGTTTGGAGTCAAAACTTTTGTGGAGTAACCAAGTGTGGCATCAAGTCTCCACTGATTTGAGTTGTCGAGTTTTATAATTATTGATGCATCAAATGTTAAAACATGCATAACTTGTATGCACTATAGCTACTTTGTAATTTAATAACACAATACCACCAGCTCTCCTAACAAAAACTTCCATTGCAATAAAAAAAAAAAAGGCACATGGAAGAACATATATGTTAAGGAAAACAGCCAACTCCAAACATCTAAAAGCTAGAAGATTATTATGTTTGAAACCTTGAGTACATTACAGGGTAACTATGTCCTTGTAAGCATTTACATATAAAGATGATATATTTTGTTCAATTCAAGTTCCCATGCACAATTGTGCAAATCCTTCCCGGACTAATAAAAATATTACAAAAGCCAAGTTTCTCACTCAGTCGTTTAAAACCTTGACCAAAACACATGCATGATCAATACAACAAAGCTAGGAATTCAACAAAAGACCAAGGAATCAACTTGTGGCACCTCCAAACTACAAGAGAAAGCCCTAGGGAATTGGTACAAGTGGAGAAACAAATAGGATGGTGTTGAGGTGCACATCCTATTCAATCTCACACAGCAAACAAATATAACATAAAAGATTCTAGATTTGAACTTGAAAAATCCCATCTGAGTACATAACTACTAAATAAATGCTCAGCTTCGGTAATGAAACCATTATTCCAAATGGCACTACACTTGGTGAATTAGGATTACAAAGATTCTCAAGCATCCATATTTAAATCCAAACACATTCTCCAGCTTCAACTTCTACTTTTCATTGAATATTAGATCCAGAAAGAGAATCCCAAAAACTCCACAACCCATTAGCCTCAAAAACCCCAATCATCAAACATCACACACACAACACATTACTGCACAGCACACACCAATAAACTAAAGCCAAGATAAGTTACTAAGTAGCAATGAAAAAATGGTGCATACCTCGAATCGAATATTCTTGTAGACAAGCTCTTCAACATTGCTACCAACAGTAGGGTGAGTAGTTACAACCTCCCCTAAATGCAATTTGTAAAGCGTAGTTGTCTTTCCTGCATTATCTAATCCAACTACCACAATCTTGTACTCCTTTGCTGGAAACAACATGAACCAAAACCTTGATGCAAATGCTCCCATCTTCCCTCCTTTTTTTCAATTCAATACCCTAAACACAACCCCAAAAAATAAAATCAATTTCGATTGATCAAAATCCCCGCAATTAAATAAATAAATAACAAAGCAAACGACTATTCTGAAATTTGAAAATTAATATAATCGGAGGAGGATCAGAAAAAGAAATAATCTGATCAAACCTTGATTTTCGGTGATTGCTGTAGTTCGATAGAGAGCTACTATAATCAAATTTTTGGTGTCAGCAATAACGATCTGCACCGAGAAAATTCATTCAAGTTAAGCAATAATGAATGGTCAGATTGAACATTCAATAAGAAATTCAAACCCTAACATCAACAATCGAGAAATAGTGAAATCAAAACCCTAGATATTCGAATTAGGAAGAATGAAGCAATAACGAAGAGATAGAGAGAGAGAAATTACCCTGCAGGAAGGAGGCTTTAATGGCGTCCGCTATCGAAGCTGCGAGGACAATTTTTCGCAGAGAGAGAGAGAGAGAGAGGAAGACGAGACAGAGAGCATCATGTTAAACGATGACGTTTTATACAGGGGAGAAAAGGCGTCCGCTACTCGACGCATAGTTTTAAAAACCGGCTTGCACGGTTTGATTCATAATACTTGGAACTAAAACCGGGCCAAGTTAAAAAAATAATAAATAAATAAAACTCGGGTGTTCTTGATAAAAATCTAAGTTGACTGGTCAAAAACTTAATTTTAACCCATTAACTATTTATTTTTTAACAAAAATAATGTTATTTTAATTTTAAAAATAAAATAAAATTAGCATAGTAATTCTATCAAAACCTTCAACATGAGCCTTAAACCAGTTTGACCAGGCCGGTATTAAGAACTCTGCCTGGAAGGAGAAAGAAGTGGATCAATGTAAGAAATAACATCATTTACCATTCATTACTTCAGTCCTTATTATTTCCTTTTGTTTAAACAAAAGTCCTTGCTCTTTTAATTTTTACACATTTTGCATCGTCAGTTAAGAAATTGTTGCTGCTGGAATTGATTCCTAGATTGCTGTTACTTGTGGTTAATTTTAGGGAAGTTTAGTGATTGATTCTTTGATTATAGTGAAGACTCTTCAGACGTCACGCGTTCATTTCAGCAATGAAGCTTCTTTCAAGCAGTAGCTGAGAGTAGGGATGTGAGTGAGTTCTGGCAGATGATCAATGGCAAACTGGACATGGGATCCTGCAAGATGCAAAGGCTGCAAGTGGTACCGCCAGCTTTGAAGTAGACTTTCAAAGATGTCAATGGCGGCCCTGGTGCTCCTCATGCTGCGTAACAACGAAATATGTCTTCACTTGTAGGCTTAACGAGCATTCTACGCTATATATATATATATCCCCATGTTTAGCAAACCAAGTCTTGCAGAATAGGAACCAATTTTCCTGTGACCATGCTATCTCCGACGTTGACTTATTTATCATACCCTGGTCAAAGTCTAGTTCAACCTAAAACACTTAAGTTGTTAGATAAGTGACTCTATGAGATTATCTTTCAATATCTTGAATTTAATAGCCCGGCATTACGTTAACAAATGCTTTTAATATATTGTGAGTAGTTTATTACTTTTTACAAATAATAAACTAGCTATTGCGACTAATTAGATAGTTTTTTTTCTCAATAAAAAAACTATAAATAAAATATGAATAGAATACACATTCTATATGTGAACAATTAAATTCAAATATTTGACAGCCTATGCAAAACTCTTAAAAGACCGGCGTACAATGCTTTAAGAAAAATTGGGTTGTTCCCACTATTGATGGGAGTTATTCATATATAACACATTATACATATATACAGTGATGGGAGTCATCTATATAAGAAGAGAATTATTCATATATAACACATTATACACACACACATTTTAGTTAGAAAAGAGAGATGGAAAGCAAGATGAACAAGATTAGTTTGCTACTCATGGTTGTCATTGTTTTCCCAACTACTATGTCTCATCCCATCCTGGCTATGCACCAAATCCCGCTCATTTCTTGATGAGTCATGAAATCAAATATATTTAGAAATAAAGTTGATGTGTTGATAATTGATTGATTTTTTAGTTCAAGCAAAGTATCTAGTGACTTGATATGAAAAGTCTAGAGGGTTGATAATTGGTAGTAGATGATGTTTGATAAGCCAAGTGACCAGTAACAATGGTAGTAATGGGTGGTATCTGATAAGCCATGGTAACCAGTAGTTGTGGTACTAGCAGGTGGTGTCTGGTAAGCTAAATAATTGGTAGTTATGGTAGTAGTGAGTAGTGTTCGGTAAGCCAGGTGATTGAAGTTGTTACCTGTAAAAGGTCCTCTTTGATGGATGTAGAGACTCTTTGAATGTAAGGTCAATAACTTTATAGAAAGAGAAAGTGCAATGATATTTTAGAGAGATAAATTTTAAAAATATGTATACTGAAAATATTAAAAATAAAGAGATTATAAATCTTTGACTAGAAGGATTCATGATATATTTATAACTCATGGATCTTGTCTTTCTGTGTGGAGAAGGGAATGAAGTGTAATATATTTTAAGTTATATTCTACTCAAAATAATATATATTGAATCAATATAAAATACTATGAAATATATGAAAAATCTCTAATGAGTGTTAGGCTTGGGGCCATTCGAGGTAAAAAAATAGATTCAGATGTGCTGCCTAAACTCAAACATATTAGATTCAGGGTACGTGCTCAACCTAAAGAGATGGGCCAAAGAGACCATAAGTAGAGGTGTGCACTATGTTTCAAAAAAAAATATATAGAGAGAAGAACCATAGAGGAACTTATACTCAAAAAAATTCTTAAGATGATGAGGTGAGATATAAAAGACTTCCTACTTAGAATGTTTTTCTAAGAGGTCATGAGAAATTTATGGAGAGAAAGATCATACTTAGAAAAATTTCTAAGTGACTAGTGGAAACTTATAAAAGGTAAGTTTATATTTAGAAAATATTATAAAAGGATGAGGAGAACCCAAAAAAAGTGGCCTTTGACGATACTCAGACTTAGAAAAATTTATAAAGGGTTGAGAGGAACCTAAAGAGGGGATAAGGGGAACCCAAGAAAGGTGACCCCTAGTCATACCCATATTTAGAAAAAAAAAAATTAAAAAGCAAAGGAGATAGATCCATGGAGGGTGGTTTTATTACACTAAGAAAACCAATTTCATTCCTTGAATAGTGGTCGCACTGGAGTGTAAGAGTGACCTCTCTAAGATGACATGAGGTATGAAAGCCCTTAATTAAAGAAAGATCCCATCGAAAAGTGAAAGGTTTATAGCCTTCTTAATAATGGCATAAGGGTTTCGGGGTTTGAGAACTGTCAATAATGTATAAGAGATATGCAAAGATATGTGACCTTTATATGATGACATGAGACATAAAAGCCTCTACTAGAGAGTGGTGCCAGTCCGAGATTAGATTGGAGAGGTGAGAGATCCAAGATTAACCCTTAATGAATTGACAAGAGGCAAGAGTATCACCTAGAGAATGAAGAATCTCAAATCAACCCTTGACGAATTGGTGAAAGGCCTCACCTGGAGAATGAAGGGTCTATGATCAACCCTTAAAGAAATGGTAAGAGGCCTCTATGCCTCACCTATAGAATAAAGGGTTCATGATCAATTCCGGGAGAATTGGTGAAAGATCCTTAGACATTTTTCTGAAGGATGTGCTAATCTAAAACTGTACTGGAAAGTAGGGATTTGAGATCAACCATTGATGATTGGTGAGGGGCCTTTAGGCATCACCTGGAGAATGTGCTAATCCAAGACTGCATTGGAGAGTGGAGGATCTGATATCAACCCCTAGTGAATTGGTGATGGCCCTTTTCCTAGAGAAATCAAGTCAATCTCATTCTTGAAAAGTATCTGGAAGCCCCCATTAAAGATCTATAGATAGGGAATATATATCAGAGATATATTATTTTTATTTTAAAATGTGCTTACATTTCTATTGAAGATTATGCATTATGAGATGATTTGTTAGGCTTAAAAGAGCCTGAAGAGTGTGGTATGAAACAATAAAATTGGTAACTGAGGTCCATCTTACTTTAGTCAAGGGAGAGTGTCTAGAGTATTAGGTATATGCATGAGTATCACAATGACATTAGTGATTCTTAAAAAGATTTGGCGAGAATAGAGGCAGAGTACTCTCCTAGAGGTCATTATGCCTAAGCTCTTATGTGTTGAGCAATGAGTGATAGGCGTTGGGAATGACTGATGATAATGATGATGGGGTCAAGTGTGTTACCATAGTTGTTAAGACTTGTTGAGTTAATAAGATTTGATTTTGACATTAGGTTGCCTACACTATCTGAGTAAGGAGTTGTACTTGACTGGTGAATTGTTGAAGATCTGACTGAGGTAAGGTGTTTATGGTAATGAATAGATTTATCTTGCATTTTAACCTAAGAGTGTCTTAGTTATGTGTTATGGAATGACCTAAAAATGTTAAAAAAAGTTTTAGAAATTGATGGTTTTTTCATTAATTTCTAACAAAAAAACATCAATTAACGAGTCTCAAAATCCAGGATGTTTAGAAAAAAGGTTGATATATTGGATATTTGGTTAATTTTTTAGTTCGAGTAACTTGATTTATTATCTATAGTTAAGGTATCTGGTAGCTTGATATGAAAAGCCTAAAGAGTTGATAATTGGTAATAAGTGGTGCTTGTAATCCAGGTGATCAATAGTTGTGGTAATAACAGGTGATATCTAGTAAGTTATGATAATCGGTACCTGCGGTATTAGCAGGTGATGTCTGGTAAGCTAAATAATCAGTAATTGCAGTAGTAGCAAGTAGTGTCTGATAAGTTAGGTGATCGGTAGCTATTACCTGTAAAAAGTTTTCTTTAATGGATGTAGGAACTCCTTGAATGTAAAGTCAGTAACTTTTTATAAAGAGAAAGTGCAATAATATTTTAGAAAGATAGACTTTGAAAATATGTAATCTAAAAATGTTAAAAATAAAAAGATTGTGAAAATTTGACTTGAAGGATTTCTAATCTATTGATAACTCATGAATCTTGTTTTTTTTTATGGAGATAAGGGGTTAAAGTATAATTTGATCATTGTAATATTTTGAGTTATATTTTACTCAAAATAATACGTATTGAATCAATATAAATTACCTAGAACTTGCGTGGTGTCCCGAAAAAATCTTTGACAAGTGTTCGGCCTGGGTCCATTAGAGATAAAAAAAATAGATCCAAACATGTGTGGATTCAAGTATGTTGAGCTCAAAGCCAAAGCACGTTAGGTTTGGGGTGTGTGTCTGGATCCAAGTGGGTGCGGGGGTGCCAATCCCCCTACTGGGTATTAAACGCTCACCCAATGTCTTGTCACACTCATACATTTATACTTATTAGAAGCTTAGACTACCATGCTCGGGCCCACGTTTCTCGTGCCTCAATTGTATAATAAGTCTAGGCTTGATAGTTGAGCCAATAACTTTCATGTTTATTTTTAAAAATAACTTTTATTTTGTCACACTCATACATTTATGCTTATTAAAAGTTCAAACTATCATGCTCGAGCCCACATTCCTCGTGCCTTAATTGTATAATAAGTCTAGGCTTGGTAGTTGAGCAAATTGGTAGTTGAGCAAATAGCTTTCATATCTATCTTTTTAAAAATAATTAGGTTTATTTTGGGTTTCTTTAGTTATATTTTATTTGGATGCAACACATCAAACGACAATGCTGAGATTCTCCTTTCAAACATCGACCATGCTACAAGAATTGGATAATCCTGATCTTCTTAAAATGTATCCCTCACAGTGAAGTAATAAATGAAGATATCATTTATTAAATTGCTTTGTATTAAATTGTTTTTCCTTTGCCCACGGTTCTTTCTTAAAAAGGAGGAGGAAATCCATTGCCCATAGTTAAATCTGTTTTATTGTTTTACATGTAAGAGATATAACAAATATAATAAATATTCTTTGATTTGTTGCTTTTATATTGTCTGCAAGATAGTAAAATGATCATGTTAGAAAACTTTACAGGGTATTAATGACCAAAAATGTTGAAAAATTAAAAGTCTAGAAACATAAGGACTTGGAACATTTTGAAAAAAAAAAAAAAAAAACAGAGAGTAAATAACCCATAAAAATAATAAACCAATAAAAAGTCGAAAATTCTATATATGTCCCTAAAAACTTAATTCAGTGTTGTAGACATATATCCCTTGCAAGGCTTTATCAATATCTCACTTCACCACTTATTAGATTTTTTAAAAGAAAAAACTGGATATCGTTTTTTTTACATAAAAATATTAATTATAAATTTAAAATTTGATCCATGTATTTAATAAAATAAATTAAGAATTATTTGTGCAAATAAATAAAAAAATTAAAGATAACTAAGAATTAAATTAAAAAAATTAAGAGATAAATATAATTTAAAATATTTGATCTTGGAACACAATTCATATTCTCAATTATATTTGATGACCTTATTTATTAGAATTATTTTTTAATTTAAACTAATATTTAATTTAATAAAATGATAATAAAAAAACATTTACGAAAATGATTGAACAAAATTAATAAAAACATTTAAGTAAAGCTACCGTAAAAGAATGTCTTTTAATATTAGAAAAGTAAAATAAAATATTATTCCTAAACCAAAAGTAAAAATTAAATCGTATTATATTAAAAAAATCAATAAAAAGTGTTTAAAAAAGTCCTCTATTTTAGCAAACAACAGGCTAAAACCGTGTCCGAAAAACATCAAAATCAGTCTAAGAAATAATAAATTCAAAGATACCAAATACCAATTGAAGATCAGCCACGTCATCAAATCCAATTAACTCAAAGTCTCAACATGGACGCCACGCGCAACTCGTTTGGATTGTCCTGACCACTCGACACTTTGCCTTTGGCCTTTTCATGGCTGCCACGCTCTCCGCTTCCCTTCCTTATTCCGCTGACGTTTCATCCAAGATCAGATCCCACGTGGACAACTAAAAATACAAACGACCAAAAGGAACACGTGCCAGCCTCGCGAGTCTGGATTCAATGCATCCAAATGGCAGATGCTCTCCACGCTCCTTCCTGTCCCGCCACCCACACACGCTCAGAAACCTTTCTCCCGCTTGACCCAATTTATCTCTTTATTATTGAGTATTATTAATTAATTCGAACAAATCTTATTGTTTTCTCTCGAACTTGTCTTTCAGCCAACGTTGTTTCAATCAAAGATTTGAAAGCCTGTCTTTTACTTTTTTCTTTCTGGGATTTTATCGGATCTGATTTTGAGGTACAAGGCTTTGAATTATATGATTATTCGTTATTTTCATCTGGGGTTTTTCGTGTTTGGTTTGGTTTGGTTTGGTTTGATTTATTTTTATTTTTTTGAATGAAGGATTGGAAAATGAGAGTGAAATCTGAATTGGGTTTTGTTTATTTTTGAGAAATCACTTGAAAAGGAGAATATTTGATTTTTTTTTCTAATGGGGTTTTCGCTATTTTTTTTTGCAGGTTTTGTTGACTGCGATGAGCACGGGCTCAGAGCCTGATGTAACAGTGGAGGAGGTGACTGGAAATCGGTAGGTTTTAGTTAATTTGGCTGAACTGTTATGCAAATTAAAATTAAAATTATTTTTATTATTATTACTATTTGATGAATTAAATTGATGGTGTTTATGGTGTGGAACAGGAGCTTTCCTGCTGGGAAGAGTAAGGGGAAAGTCCCGAGAAGAATTCATAAAGCTGAGAGGGAGAAGCTGAAGCGTGAACAATTGAATGATCTCTTTCTTGACTTGGCCTCTGCCCTTGGTAAAATTATTTTCCCTTCCCTTTTCAGTGGGAACTTCTTCTTTTTTAATTTTTGTATCCATGAAAAATTGAATGAATCTTTGAAGAATTTTCATTTCTTGAACAGAGTTGAGTGAGCCGAATACTGGAAAGGCTTCTATACTGTGTGAAACGACTCGGCTATTGAAGGACTTGCTTACACAGATTGAGTCCCTCAAAAAGGATAACGTAGCTCTCTTATCTGAATCTCGCTATGTAACTATTGAGAAAAATGAGCTGAGGGAGGAGAATTCTGTCTTAGAAAATCAAATTGGGAAACTGCAGGGTGAACTGGAATCGAGAGTGGCTGTGCAATCAACACCTGTCCTCAACATGCCGCCTCCAGAATTTCAGCAACCGCCACATTTTCCAGGAGACTCGTTCAGATTGCCTGCTGTGGATGCTGCTGCTGCTGCATTGCAGCAGACGCCAGCTGTCTTTGTGGTTCCTCTCCATCCTGATCATGTGCAAGGTCTTCCAATGGCCACCTCAAACGTGAGGAAACCACATGCTAGATATCCAACTGCAGCTGATTCGTGGCCGTCTCAACTTCTTGGAGAGCAGCAAGTTGCTAGGAAGGAAGTTCAGTTTAGTGGCAAGGATAGCGGTATCTGTAATCCTGGGGAACGATGCCATCCTTAACCTTCAAAAAACATGCTAAAGTGTAGTAATTTATGGTAGCGTCATTGCCATTGTGGTTTTGGAGAGTTGCAGATGATCTGATGTGTTTGTTTAGCTTCTGCTATGTTTTTTTTCCTTTTCCCTTGGTAGTATTTGATCACTTTGCATCAGTTTTCTGCATACTAAAATGTCAATTGATATTGGCGTGTTGCTTTAGAAAGATGACATTGTATAGCCATTGCACACGATGTTCAGAGTTATTGAGCTTAGATGAATTGTATACAGATGATACCTGATTAAACTCTCCATCATCCATTTTAAAATCTGAAAAAAAAGGCATGCCCATATCAGATTGTTTCAATTATAACACATTTCAACAATAATGTTTCGATGTTGTGTTTTTGGACATTAAACGTTTTTTTTGCAAATGCTTAGTGGTGGTGGCAACTACAGTTTTTCTCATGTCTAAGGCGACTCAGTGTTTGCCTTGCCTTCAAGGGATAACTGCTCAATGCTTTGAGAAATATGCCAGAAAACATAGCAACAGCTGATATTTTACATCGTGGAAGTCTCTGACTGTTAGTTTAAACCATGGGTGATGTTGCATTATGGGTTCCAGATGGTTACACACTTATTGTGGATATTGATCCGGATGAATATGTGAAGGCAATGAATGAGATTAATGCAGCTGCTAGAATGAGGGTTGCAGCAAATGAGAAAGCTGAAGCAGAAAAAATACTGCAGTTTAAGCGAGCTGCGGGTGATGCTGGTGTCAGTATAGTTAGGCAGAGCCATGTTTATGGGCTAAGAGACAGTGTGCTGGAATTCTCGGTGAATATACGTAGGTCAACTTCAGTGAGTGCCGTGGGTATGGACCTGGTGACTCAGTTCTTGGTGTCAATCCAATTCTGTTTTCATCCCTCATGAACCTGTTGTCTTCTCTAAAGACATCGAGTGAGGATAATATTCTACATGACACCACAATATCGTATTAGATTAAACTAGAATCTCTTAATTTTTCTGTGAACAGAACTTGTTGGCGAAATTCCTGATCGAAGCATGTCTGGGACGTTTTTTGAGTCACTTGAACTAGTCATAACAACAACGTAACTGGAAAAAACCCTTAAAGCACTAGTGCTGCAGAGTTCTGGTGCCTACAGCTTTCTTGAATATGAACTTTGTGGATCCCAAACTGCACGCTGTGGATTCGTGGTTTAACTCTTCTGTCAATGTTTGGCTCCTTGGTGATTAGAAGGAGATGGAGGCACAATACGTGCTCTTTCAGTTCTCAGGGAGCTTTGATGCATCCAGTTTCCTTGCAAACAAACTGTGTGGACTCCTCTAGCAGAGAACCGAACCGAGTCGCCTAAAGCTGAACGTGGAGATCGAGGACAAGAGCACAAGGAAGTTGATGGGTTTTACGTGAGCATGACACTTTGGATTTGTGGTTAGCTTCGGGCAGTATTTGCCTCCTTGGTAATTAACAAGATATGGAAGCCCATCTACTCTAGTTGAGCTATTTTTTACGAGTGGGTTTTATAGAGAAAAAAGAGAAATAAAAGGTTCAGAATATCACAAAATAGAACGAGAATTATCAGGGAAAAAGTAATAGGAAACTAATGAATTTTGGGGAAAAAATAAAAAAAAAATCAGTAAATAAATAAAAACCAAGGACCAATTTCTCAGCAATATGCTTGTTAAAAGAATTTATTTATAAATATATTTTTAATAAAATAAATATATTAAAAATAATAGGGACTTTAGAAACGAAAAGAAACAAAAAAGGACCTATCTAGAATTAATTTTAATTCATGGACAATAATGAGCTCTTATGAATGGGACAAGAAAAAGAAGGCAGGGAAAGAGAACTGATGGAAGAAGATGCACTCCCATTACCAATTTAAATGCACAATAGAATCACATCATTACATGCTAATTTTCCCTCATGGTCTTCATGACATCTCATCCCTCATACTGGCTATAAACAGTCTAAGCGCTCTTGCCTTCCTTGCATGTTCAGGTGACATTTCATTCTCTGATTCACTCAAATCTATCACCTCACTATGTTGATCATTCACTCGTTGACATCTTGAAACAGTATGAGTTCGGGCTACGGGAGAGGGGCTCCAGAGATCAATGATCTCATACTGACCAGTTTCAGTAGACAAGGCAGCTCTACAAACAGCATTATGTGGATCTAGTTTTGTATGATTAGCCGCAGTTGAAGTAGTCATATCTTCTGATGTTGCTGCTTTTGATGACAAGGAGGTGCTACAGGCAGTATTGCTTCCTGATTCAATGTCAAGCAACAAAGTTTGGAGTCTTAAATCAATTTCGGCCATAGCCAGCCTGTTTCCCGATTTCTTTGATCCAGGTTTGCGTTTATTTTGTTTCTTTCCCAAAGCTGTTTTCTCCTCAAACTCTGCAATCTTTTCCGGACAAGCACTTGAGATAAAGAAAGAAGAAAAATTAATCTTCATAACATAATAGAAGAAAAAATAAAGATGAAAGACTGCTAACAAAGAAAAAAAAAAAAAAAAAGATAGCCATGAAATGTTATGCATCAAGCAGGCCAGACTAAAGACTGAAAACCCATTTTATAGGTTTTTGAGTTAGTTTTTAAAACATTTTCTATCAATTGCAAAGGCCAACAATCCCATTCCACTCAACACGAATATGCAGTCAAAGATTCTACCAAAATAAAATTCATATAAAGGAGCGACTGAGAAAATGACAACAATAATAGATACCTCTCTAAGAGATCTGCTGGAACTATGGAGGTTTTAAGTCCATCAAAGCCTTCCCACAACACCTCAAAGCATTCTGTTCCCTGAACCTTTCTCTGTTTAACAACTCCAGGTACAGGGCACTTAACTGGTATCTGCCATTGAGAAGGTTTAGCTAGTTGTGTACAAGATAACTGATGGTAAATGAAGACTCAAATTAGCATACCAACACCATAGCACACAACCTCATGATAAAACAAATTGTGAGAATAATGTATTAACATATTTCCAGCAATCATGTTTTGACAATAAAATTAGGGTATATGAAGTGATTACATTATGCATGATGTTTAAGAAATAAAATAAAGTTCTTTCTATATTATTTAGACAGATGTACTTGACCATTGATATTTTCATGACTACCTTTTGCAGAGGAAGATTAACTCCTAACTCTGATGAAGTTGATCGCAGATTGGCAAATCTCCGCAAGTCTCTTTCAGCAATTTTTGGAAGGGTGTACTCATCTAAACCAAGAAAAGACAATAGCATTAACAAATGAGAAGGGTAAAGGAGGAGCAGAAGAATGCTAACAAATGAATGAATAAATGACATCAGCTACGCATACATCACTACACTATCAACAAATGAATGCATAAATGACATCAGCTACGCATACATCACTACATTATCAAAGGGACAGCATATAAGTCAAGAGGACATCGTGTGTGATGCTCCCAAATCCATATATCCATTATTCCTCTTCCCCACCAAGTTTAGAGTTAGGACTTTCAAAATTAAAATTTAATAGACTTTTCAAGAATAAATGTTTAACTACTTTTCAAGAATCTGTATCAATTTGAACAAATGCAGCAATTAATGAACTTGGTTCCATGCAATAAAATCAGCCACAATTTGATTTGTTGTCAAGACAATAAGCCACCACTTGTACACCATAAAGCCACAGGAGACAAATTTTAAACTTGACCCCGACATTTTTAAACAAATCAGCCACAATTTTGCTGCTGTGCCACTATGTTTCATGAGACTCAACCCAGACATCCAAATGATGCTCGTGTAAGAATCTTGCTTCTACATGCAACTTGGTAGTAAGGCGGATAATGCATAGATAACTGAGAGAAGAACCTGTTTTCTCTGGAGACCACCCAAAGAACTGAGCACATATTCCTTGAAGTTTGAGACGTTGAAATGGATGCTGAGAAAGAACCCTGCACAACATAAAGTAATTCATAAGCAAGCTTGAAACAATAGGGGCCTGATTGAGAAGCCCAATTACTTGGCCACGGGGTTAAATTTACAAGTTTTTATATACTGCTTTTTGAGAGGCTCAAGTTTCTCCAAGAAGACAACTGAAGGCACCTTGGGAGCAACAGGAGGCTCATGCAATAACTTGCATGAGTACCAAAAACAACTGAATTATGCAAACAACTTACCTACAGACTGCATCAGAATCTGCTGGGTGGCACTTGGGCTTCAGATATGCATCGATCACTTGCAAGCACTCATTCTTCCTTTCTGAATTGTTATCGCTTCCTGCTGCAAGCATTAAAGTGCTTTACAACAAAGTAAGCTGCAATATTCCATCTAATAAAATCAAACTATTTTGACATAATAATTTCCATGGAAAAACTAGTGATTTGATTTTGGATGCCAAGATAAAAATATGTTCATGTCACCAACCTAGGTAATTTTAAATAACTAATGCAATACAAACTCAAAACTGAAATTATGAAAAGCAGCCATACAATAAATCCACCAGATCAGAATGGAAGTATTAACATTAAGCATGTTGCTTTATCAATAATTTTGGAGTCTCAAATATATCTTAATTCTAGAGACTATTCCTGACTACTTATCTAGATCTAGATCTGACTTATTGCATTTACTTCAAACATGAATTTTTTAAAGTACACTTGCAGATCGTGGTAGCAAAATGTAACTAAAGAAAGGTTCTACTGTTTACCATTAAAATGGATATCAGAATCCGGAGAGTTTTTTTTTTTACTGCGCATCTGCTTCTTTGAAGTTTTTATCTTCTTTGCAAAGGGCAGTCCCTCTGATGCAATTTTCTGAAGGACATTGCTATCTCCAATTGACTTGACAATCTGCAATGCTGACTCCTGGAAGGGGGGAAATAGCGGAAGCATTTGATTACCTATTTGCTAGGTAATTGATAGGAATTTGGGAAAAGGACATATGAGTTATTAAAAAACATGAAAATAAAATACAAAAAGAAGCAGAATAACCAAACATACTGGACCTAGACCATGCACTCCTGGAGAGTAATCACTTCCGAGTATAAGTGCTAGAGTGATCTGGAAAAAAGATAAATAAATTAAGAAACTCTAGAATTGAGGCTTGCAGGTAAGACATGCAGAAAACAGACAAAGCAATATAGCTCCTAAATCATATGCTTTTTATATGTTCAACTTAGCTGAAAAACAAATCAAATAAACTTTCAATGAGGCACAACATATCATTGCCAAGGAACCGGGTCAGGACAACAAAAAAGAGACTATACATGGCACTCTTTCTCTGTCAGTCTCTTTCACACACACATGGCATCAAACATGTTGAACTGAGGAATAATAAATCCAAGAAATTAACTTGAGGCCATGGTAAAACTATTTTCATCAGAGTCCACTGCCTATTAATGAAGTTGAAATCTTTAATTTAAAAGAGCCACGAACCACCTCTGTAAATGCACTCATTTGATAAGGATGCATGTTATAAGGAATACACTCAATGCAACAGTAACAAGGTCTAATGTTAGAAATCAACCTGCTTCATCTGTTACTGAAAGAAAACACAAACTAGGAAATTACCAACGAGTTCCTCCCAAACCCAAGTTTTCTTTCTACTTCTTCCATTTCATAACAAACAACATGTCCTTCTCCTAGTTCAACATAAAATGGTTAGCAGTGTTAATATTCAATTGAAAGCCAATATTCAAACAGTTCAAGAGTGAAACTGTGAAAGAATCCCTATCCACCCACCAAGGCATATGTCTCTATACACGGTCCTTCCACCAAAAAGGAAGACATCTGAATCTGAGCTGAAACAACCATCCTGATAATCATTATCATAATGATGAGAAAATTGGCAAGTATTTCCTAATCCAAACAGAACTCAAGAGTATAAAATTCCTACTTACACACAATGATTCTGAGTTTAACAATGCACACTGTGCTTCAGCTTCCTCAATGCTGCATTTGGAAAGACAGAAGATACATACATACATACATACATACATACACATATATATATATATATATATTACTGTTCAGACCTCTAATATTACTTTCAGCAGAGTAGAGGCAAAAAAGAAAAAGAACCAACCAAATTCTGCTAAAATTACCTTTCTAAGCAAGGGATCCCAAGTGCTAATCCAATATCTTTTGCTTCTTTGATCATGCATGAGAATTCCGATCCCATGTTTCTCCGAAGTGAGCATGCTTTTTGTGAATTTGTTTCATCCTGGGCAACCTACAGCATAGAGAAACCCTTTTCAATTCAAGACCCAGGCGAAACTTCAAGAAAAAAAAAAAAAAAACATAAAAATCATCCAACTGCGTACACATGAATAAAAGAAATTGAACATGGCACGGTGACAGTTGCCTACCTCAAGTCCTAAATTCAAGCGCCGACGGTAAGTGGCTAATTTGATAGCAGGGATGGATCCATCTACCAGACAACAATACAACAAAGCTAGCACAGTTCAAAATTCTTAAAAAAAGTAAAACACATACTCCTTAAATTCACAACAGCAAATGAGATACTGAAGATTCATAGGTGATTCAATAGCTTCTTTAATCATAATAAAAATATCACCAATACTATTATCCATCAAAATTAAATTTCAATTCCCACTATGCAACAAAAGCACACCTTTAGACTAAAACTTAACACCCCATTTCTTCCACAA